AACGCGCGACGCTCGACGCTCCGGGTATCAGCTGCGGGCTGCCCTTCTCCGGGCCGCGTCCCGCTCTCTCTCTGTCTCTCACCCCCCACGCTTTCGCATCTTCATATAGATATCTGTTCCGTTTTTCATATCCCTCCTCCTCATCTTCTTCGGTTGGCTGCCCTGCACCGCCCCGCCTCGCCCTGCCGTTGTGTTGGTACGGCCCTCCGCGTGCCGGTTGTAACCGCCGCCTGACTGCACCCGACGCGGCGGCGCCCGACGCGATCCCCCGCCAATTTTTTATATTATTGAGGAGGTCTCGGTGTCGTTGAGGGGGTTGGGGGGGGGGGTGAACCGCGCCAAATTCCACGTCGCCGGACGACGCTACGGCAGCGCGGAATAACGCGACGCTGGGCGCCGGGCGGGCATGTTGCTCCGCTTATTGGTATTTGCAGGGAATGCCAAGGGTTGCGGGGCGGGAACTGGGCGAAAACTCGCTCGACCTGTGTTGCCGTTGTTTCTCATGTATTTCTCATCATACTAACCGTCGCTGATGTCGTGTTTCTCGTGCAGACCGTGTCGGTGACGGTGTCTGTGCTTACGCTCACGACCATCTCCGTGGACCGCTGGTACGCCATCTGCTTCCCGCTCAAGTTCAAGTCCACCACGAGCAGGGCCAAGAAGGCCATCATCATCATCTGGCTGCTTGCCCTGTCTTTTGGTGAGGGTGACGTCATAGCTTCTTCTGAACTCAGAAAAAATATAAATTTACTTGTTTCCAGAATAGTTCTCGAAAAAACAATATTTTAAAACATTATACCAACCCTTATGTTTCTTTCAGATGTTCCAGAGTTGGTGGTGTTGGAGACCAAGCGGAAGGCGCTGGGCATCGACACCATCTTCTTCACGCAGTGCTTGCCCACCTGGGGTGACAGCTCCGAGACGACCTACCACTGCGTCAAGACCCTCTTCCTCTTCTTCCTGCCGCTGGCCTTCATGACCGTCACCTACGTGCAGATCGTCAAGGTGCTGTGGAGCAAGACCAATATCCCCGGTCACGCCGAGACCAAGAGCCTGAGCTACCAGTACTGCAACGGCAATGGTAACTACAGAAATTTACAAAAACACACAAAAATAGATGAATGTGTTGATCGTTTGTTTTGAAACCGTCTTCGTGTGCGTGTTGCAGGCGTGAGCGGCACCCGGCGGACCATGCACCGGAGCATCTCGGCCAGCTCGCAGATCCTCAGCCGGCGGAAGGCGGCCAAGATGTTGGTCGTGGTCGTCTTGATGTTCTTTATCTGCTACCTGCCCGTCCATCTCCTCAGCATACTGAGGTACGCATCGGGGGAAAAGCCGGCCAATAAGTAGTGATAATTACTATTTGTGAATTTGTGCTTTTCTAGTGCACTGTGCACTGTTTCGTCTTTCGATCATTTAAAAATCGAATTGTTTGCAGGTACACGATGATTATCCCCCAGACGGAGCTGATGACCGTCACCGCCATGTTCGTCCACTGGCTGTGCTACGCTAACAGCGCCGTCAACCCGCTCATTTACAACTTCATGAGCGGTGAGTTGTAGCCCTCCATGGCAGCATCGCTAGGCTGGTGGCTGTTCGTTACTCGTAGCACTCGTGTAGAGAGAAGCTAAAGTCCCTCGCTTTGTCCGGCTCACTGTTGAATGAGTTCCGTAGTACGCGCCGCCACTTATGCACCCACGTCCGTTCACAAGCGACTGCACGCTCGTCGGAACTTTAAAGCACTGTATTATTCTCTTCTCTGCCTCTGGCTTTCTTGGTTGGTTCTCCTTACTTGCACGTTCAAAAATTATTATTTTTTGCATATACACACTGCGCATGAGTTGACATGAATATAATTTGCTCGTACTTTTACGAACGGTGATTATAGTAACTGTGCCATCAATACTATTACTTGTCACCGTACTTGTGCACTCTAAACGCAGGGGCGGCTAAGTTTTCCAAAACTTTGGCATTCATTTTTTGACTGACAAATTTTAACATGTTTTTAAGAAATTGCCAGTTGTTTGACCCCTGGAATGCCAAATTTAGGCATTCTTTCAGATGAGGCCAAACTTAAGCGTGCTAAAGGAAACACGTAGGCCAAAAACGGTCAGTCTCTTTTAAAATAATGCCAAAAATTTGGCAGTCAAACAGGACTTGCAATAAGATATACTTCACGGCTGCGCCGTTTAGAGTGCGATAAATCTCTTTTTGACCACGTGACGTGATGCCCGCAGGTAAATTCCGCGGGGAGTTCCGGCTGGCGTTCCAGCAGTGCGCGTGCGAGTCGTGGGTGCTGGGTGGCGACACGGTGCGTCCCGCGGCGGGCGGCGGCGGCCCCGGCGGGGGGCCCGGGCCCGGCGCGCTCGCGGGGGTGTCGCCCGGCCACGTGGTGCTGGGCATGTCGCAGCTGCACCGCCGGCCCGCGCCCCGCGCAGCGCCCCGCGCCGCCTCCACCCTCGCGGCCACCGCCACCACGACCCTCTCCGTCTCCGTGCTGGACTCGGGCCCCTGACGGCCGCCCCAGCCCCCCGCCGCGGCCGCCGCCAGGGCCGAGCGCCGCCGGCTCGCGTCCTACCGCGGCCAGCAGTGAGCTGGCGAGGACCTTTCGGCTCGGCCTGGACGCTGGGCTCACTCGGAAGACCTTTCAGCTCAGCCTGTACGCTCGGCTCACTCGGAAGAATAACTTTCAGCAGCTCGGCCTGTACGCTGGGCTCACCCGGAAGACCTTTCGGCACAGCTTGTACGCTCGACTCACCCGGAAGACCTTTTGACTCGGCCTGTACCCCGCCCCGCAGTAGCAACGCGGCGCGGCTGAGACAAGTCGAATAGGTTGCCTATGGCGCCGGCGCCGCCGGCCCCTCGTCTTGCCATTCCGGACCTCTTCGTGGTTGACCGGCCCTCCCAGCCAGAAATTCAGCGTCGGTCCCGCGTCGGAATCACGCCAGTTTGCGGCTCGGTTGTGATCGGCTGTGATTTTACGTTGAATCGACGTCGACGAACGTTGACGGATTTCTGACTGGGTCCTCGGTGTCGGCCCTTTTGCGTGTCTTTAGCCTGTGATTTAAATGTTTAATGTGTTGCTCTCTACTTGATGTGTGATTGTGTGCGTATGTTTGTTTTCCTTCTTAACAGCGAAGTCATAGTTTTCGTTGCACGGATGCGGGACGTAGTGATGTTAAAGAGTATAAACAATTGACGTGATTTTTGTCGCTACGATTCCAAAAAATATTTGCCTCTCGTATGCAAGTGATATGTACGTCTTTTAGTTGCTATGAATACAAATTATACGGCATGGGACCTGGTGAAAATGTGATGACGATTCTCGGTTATCGTGTTCTACATGTATATTCTAAATGTAAGAGTTGATGTCAGTGTACCTTTCTTTCGTGCGGTGTTATCTTTAATAGCAGCCTTTCGGTAGTACCTTTAAGTACCTCATACCCAACAGTATTGATGTTGGAGGCCGCTTTGCACTTCGTCCTCCCCCATTCGACGCAGTGTGATAGGCAACACAACTAGTATAGGCAGGCTAGTTTTGTTAACTTTCAGCCAGAAACAAAAATAGTGTGTGCCATATTTTTGAGTAGTGGTAGGCGGTGCTGGACGGTTGGGGTGCGCGAAAGAGAGACGAGTCGTCTCTCTCTCTCTCTCTCTCTCTCTATCTCTCTCTCTCTCTCTCTCTCTCTCTCTCTCTCTCTCT